TGCCCGTGGCACAAGGTGGAAGGAGAGACAGTGTCTAACTGCCTCAGGTTCCCCCACTAAATATCACCCAGAAATCACCTGCCCCTACAGGCCATACCCCACCCCCGAGAGGTGGCAGCAAGTGACACCAGAGAGGAACAGGTGAAGTGCTGGAAGGGAACAGCCTGGCAGATGCAGCGAAATCTGCCGTCAAGTCTTCGGCTGCCCCTGTGGTTGCCTCCCTAGTCTGGCTGGCTGCAAACCCAGGGGAAAACTTGCTCCCGCACAGAGAAAAAACAATGGGCATCAGAAGGAGGCAACAGCCTCAGCCTCCAGGCCGACTCGGGGTAAGATCGTAGGCTTCAGCCCTGGGCAGCGAACCAAAGGAAGGTTGGGAAAAGCCTACATCAAACCCTCCATCTGGGACAGGATAAAACCTTGCAGATGACCCACATGCTTTCTACAGGAAAAAACCTGGACAAAACCTTTAAGTATCTTTTAAAGACTTGTGAAGTCTGCCACAGAAATAACCTGTACTCTCATCCCCAAATCCCCAGAGGCAGACAGTGAGTGGGGAGCTGGCCTGGGGAAGGCTGGCAATTAGCGAATGGATTTCACAGGTATGCCTGAGGCACAAGGGGCCCAAAGCCTCTGGGTTTGGGTAGATAACCTTCTCACGCTTCTGCAGAACCAGAAGGCCTCAGTGGGGGTAAAGGCACTAGTAAGTGAAACCATCCCTCAGCTGGGACTCCCCTGGTCTGTACTCCCCATTGCCTTACTCCGGATTAGAAACGCCCCCGTGGAAACGGGCTTGAGCCCCTTCCAGGTCTTGTATGGGAGGCCCGTCTGTGTAAATGACCTGCTGGTGGACAAGGGAGTCTTTGACTCGGCAAATCATGTCATCCTTCTGGCAAGGTCTCCATGAGCTCCTTGGGTGGTTCCTAACCCTCAGTTCCAAGACAACCAACCTTCCCCGATCATCCCAGGGACCAAGTGCTTGTTAAAGATCTTTCCTCTTTATCTTTGTCTCTAGAGCCTGTCTAAGAGGGCGCACACACAGTCATCTTAGCCTCCCCAAAGGCTGTCAAGGTACCCACGGTCAAGGCCTAGATCCACTATCCTAGAGTCAAGCCCTGGTTTCCAGTGGAAGAAGACAACAGGAAACCAAGATACCACTGCAAGCAAGGAAGGGCTCAAACGCATCTTTAAAAAACAGAAAAGCCAACGACACCAAGCTAAGTACTTCAACCCCTGATCAAAGATGCCGTTGAATGCATTTGTTCTCTTTCTCCTTCTTTCTCTTCCCAAACTTCTACATTGCCACTCATCTGCAGGGACCCAAGGATGGGTTCAACCCAGTGCCACTCCCTTCAATTTGACTGATTGTTGGGTATGTGGGAAAGACTCAGTAGGGACCGCTGTGCCCGCCCCTATCGAGGTCTGGCTGCGGGCTAATTACTCTGTCACTCCTTTTGTCTCCTATATTAATTCATTCCCCAATCAAAATATAGAGCAACTATTTTTTAAAGCTTGGAAGAAGGACATGGAAACCAAAGTAGCCAGTGTCCCCTGGTCCGACAACACCCCAGACCTTGCCTGGCTGGCTCGGCTCCGGATCAGTACCTCAACAACATTCCCTATTTGCTGCGAAAACACCTACACTCCAAACTCGGGGATTTTTGTAGGAAACCTTTCCACGTCCCAGTGCAACTTCACCTTCCAGGTCCCTTCAAGCGCCGCAGAGGAGCCTTGGAATAGCTCCCTTTTCAACTCGCTCAGCGCCTACAAAGACCCTGATCAGCCTCACCTCTTTCTCCGGGCCCAGGATCCCCTAAAGGAAAAGACATCTTTTTGGACCCCCGCTAACAACTCCTGCTCAGCAGGGTGGTCCCCGGAGTCCTGCAATTCCTCTACACTAGGGTTGGCCAGAGGTTTGCTCCTCTCGTCCCAAGAATTCTTCCTGAAAATCTATCCTTCCAGCTCACTTGCCGTCACGGCGGGCGAGCGGCTCTGGTTCGATGCTTCCCTGATATGGAGGAAGTTGTCAGGCGCAGCCTCTGCCTTCCCACCGAAGCTTCTCTTTAAGTATGGGTTCCACCTAAGCCTCCGTGCAGAAGACGGTCTGTTCTTCTACTGCGGGAGAAGGGCACGCGCGTTCTTACCCGCGCAGTGGACAGGGCGCTGCTCCCTCGCCTACCTAGCTCCGCTAGGGCCCCACGCCCCTGGGGCCGGCCACATGCCGCAGGTTGGAAACCAGTCCGAGCCTTGGATATAGAGACCTGAGGACTCCCTCTATTTGGAGGGTGTGGCCCTCCAGAATCCCCGGGGCCCTGGACCTCGGGACCTCCTGTCCTCCCATGCTCCCATGCAGGGGACACCTGCAGCCTCCTCCAGGAAGCCGGTTTTATATTAACAACACAGGTCAGGGAGTGCCTCGTTCAGATTCGTCAGGTAGCCTGGTGGCCCAAATAGAGGACCCCTCCTTCTGCTGGACCTCCCTTTGGGTCCAGCAGAGACACTGACTATGGCCATTAATGGCCCCAGAATTAGTCGTCTTCCTCCTGCTTCCCTTCTGACCTTGTATTCTAAATGCCCTTGTCCAACTTGTTTCTTCTCCTGTCTAGGCAGCCACAGATGGCGACCCTGCCTACTGTAGGGGCCTCAGGACAGACCTCTGAACCCATAGGCACCCCTCCCCAGCAGGAAGTAGCCACGGATCAGTTATCACCCCTGTTCCTGATGGCAGTTTGGAGTTACCTGTTGGGGGGTGGCGGGAATATGTCAGGGACAGATCGGAGATGGACAGGCAAAGAGCCATACAGTAGGATCAGAGCCCGCAGGAGTAGGATCAGTATCGCCCCTGCTTGGCCGGCCTCACAGGTATTCTTGGACCTGAAGTCTATGGGGACCCAATCAGTCATGATGCTGTCCCTTTCGCTCCCTTCATCATCCCCTTCTCATCACCAAGTCATTAGCCGGAGAGGGTCTTCTGTTCCTCTCCACCCCTGTACACAGCAGCCAATGTTCACTTATTACTCATGGATGTCTTAATGAAAATCAGCTTCTATGGCATTCCTAGTCTGTTGGAATAAATTTATTTTCACAGTCTCTTGAAATCTTTGTATGTCCTACAGTTAAATCTGAATTGCAGTCACACACCAAGACAGACAGCGTAAGTAACCACAGCAATCACAGATAGGAGGTATGTGCTCTGTAGACTCAGTATATTATATAAAGTATCTCCATTATTTATTTTTTGAAAGAGACATGCATGGGGAAGAGGTAGAGTGAGACAGAGAATCCCAAACAGGCTCCAGTTCAGCATGGAGTATGATGTAGGTATTGAACTCACTACCCCGAGATGACCTGAGCTGAAATCATGAGTCAGACGCTTAACAGACTGAGCCACCCAGGTGCCCCTGCATTAGCTCTTAAAATAGCTTTATGAGTTAAGTATTGTTATTATATTATTCCCACTATTGATGAGCAAAGGTTTAGAAGACATAAGCAAGTGCCCAAAAGCCAATTGGTAGAAGAGATGCAACTTAAGATCAAATTTTTCTAACTCGAGTTTCAGCTCTTAAGCACTTTCTAAAACAATTGAATAATGGGTGACGTTAGTTACAGGAGTTTACGAAATTATGTTAGTTTCAAGAATTTTGGAGTATGAGTCTGTATTTGTTTTCTTTTTAAAATAAAATTCAATGTATGCAAAAATTAATTCCATATTAAATACCTTATGAAAACCAAAATTTAAAAAAATCAAAAAATAGAATGTTTAGTCATTAAAAATTAAAAGGCTTAAAAGCAACTAGAAGCACAGTTTCTGAATTTAAGTACTTGATTTTTGTAGGGCATTCATTGTATTCTAATTAATTTATAGGTAATGCAATCATGATCAGAAGCTCAAAGAGATTTATTTTTCAAAACTGCTACAGTGATTCTAAACGTACACACACACATAAAAGGAGTGTGAAACTAGATCAGAAACTTTTGAAAAGAAATAATGGAACCCACAGTGCCAAATTATGACCTGTAAGACAACTACAATTTAAAATTTTGATGTAGTAAACAGAACAGTGTAGGGGAGGAAAAATAATTTCCCCTCTACCCTTCTAGGTGCTATGAACCTCCCCTTATAATAAAAGACAGATTAAGGAGGAAAACAAAGAGCAGTTTAATGACATGGACACCTCGTGTGTACATGGGAGATGCTCTGAAGAGCTGAGTGGAACCCGAAGAGGCGCCAGCCACCCCTGGAGACACCACCTTCCGCTAACAGATGTTGGTGTGGGAAGGGAGTGCCCAGGGAGCCAGTCTGGGGTTGGCGGGAAAAGGATGGGAAACAAGGTTGTGATGCCGAATTAAGCTGGGGCTTTCACAAGGACAGGAATGTCTGGTGATTTAGTCATCCTTCTCTTCCTGGTGCAGAGAGGGAGACACTTAGAGGTTGAGAATTTCATAAATGTTAAAATGTCCCGTTAGGAAGATTTTAGAGATTCTCCCGTGTCGGTGTTTCTTAAAAATCATCTGCTCGCATATAGTCCTTATGCCAAAGAGGCGCATTTGGTTGGGGGGTGGGGGGGCGTCTTCTGCTACCCTCCATACCAAAGAGGCCTATTTTGAGACAGTATGTCCTGAACTCCAACACTCCTGTTTTGGGGTGACGTCTTAGGGTTCCCTTCCCAGCCAACAATCATTCCCCTTCTGAATGAGAGAGGACAGTACTTTGTTGTAAACTAGAAGCCCCTAGTAACGTTCTCATGGGGGAGATTCCTGCAGACACCAGTACGAACCGGCTCAGAAGAAGCCAGCCCTTCCACGCGACCTTGCTCCCTCCAGCACAGTCCTAGGAGCTCCGCCCAGAGGTGGGAGGAGCCGGAGAGCCGGGGTGGGTGCGGGGCCTCGGGGCCCGCCCGCGGTGTCAGTCTTCAACGAGGTCCGACTTCTGCTTATAATTAGCGCTGACGGACAAAAAGGGCCCTCGGTGTGTTGAACTCACACAGACCGCTTAGGTTGACATGTCTGGTCGCGGCAAGGGCGGGAAGGGCCTGGGCAAGGGGGGCGCCAAGCGCCACCGCAAGGTGCTGCGCGACAACATCCAGGGCATCACCAAGCCCGCCATCCGGCGGCTGGCCCGGCGCGGCGGCGTCAAGCGCATCTCCGGCCTCATCTACGAGGAGACCCGCGGGGTGCTCAAGGTGTTCCTGGAGAACGTGATCCGCGACGCCGTCACCTACACGGAGCACGCCAAGCGCAAGACGGTCACGGCCATGGACGTGGTCTACGCGCTCAAGCGCCAGGGCCGCACCCTCTACGGCTTCGGGGGCTGAGCCTCTGCCCTCCGCTTTGGTTTCTGTGAAAATCCTAAAGGCCCTTTTCAGGGCCCCCACTTCTTTCATCTCAGGAGCCGTGACGCTGGTTTGTCTTTAATAGTGTCGGATTAGGGCCATGAAAGTACATCCATTCCCGTTTGCGTAGAAGCTTCCCTGGTTTCCCCGTGTGCAACTAGAGAACGCATGAGCCCTTTCATTTTTCATGCTCTCCCACAGGTTTTTGGAGAGTTGCATTAAGTTACTGTTGACACTTCAACACTTCGTAGGTACATTTATTTTTTTTTTAAGATTTTACTTGACAATACAAGCAAGGATTGTGGGAGAGGAAGAAGCAGGCTCCCCGCTGAAGAGGGAGCCAGATGCGGGGCTCTGATGCGGGGATCTGATCAGGCCCTGATCGCAGGACCCTGGCATCACCACCTGGGCCGATGGCGGGCGCTTAACCCATTGAGTCACCCAAGTGCCCCAGACATGTACACTTTAAAGTGAAATTTTAATGCCATAATGGGAACGTTGGCATGACAGTTGGAAGGAAACGGGTTTAGGACTTGAGCAGGAGCAGCACGGCTTTCTCAGTATGACGGATCCGCAGGTTTGGGGGTTGCAAGGAGCAAGAACCGCAGGTGCCTCAGCGCTGAATTCCAGAGAAGGTGCATCTCGTGTACACGAGGCCGTGCAATGTGATCACGTTTAGTGATCTGCATTCTGGTGCCACGTGTCCTCTGCTCAAGAAACAAATGAGTGTTAAGTAGACTTAATTGGAGAGCAACAATTGGGACAGTTGGTGAGACCAAGCATGTGACCAGCCTTGGCTCCAGTGCTGGGGTCTGCTGGGAGTGGAGACCCAAGCTCCTAGAGGATGGACAGGTCAGTACACCACAGACCAGGTGGTGAGGGTGGGATGCAGTTAAAAGGCATTCCAGCTAAATGATAAGGGAAACAACAGAAATGTTGCCATGAAAATAGGCAGCCCTAGCCCAGGAGAGATCTTTGGTAAAGAGTCGAAAAGGAATCAAACACAGAATAAGGCCATAAATCTAGAATCTAGGATTCTCCCAGAGGAAGTCTTAAAAAGTAGAGAAAGAAACCCAGAGTCGAAGGGGAAGACTTGGGTGTTGGTAGGAAGCTTGGCTAATGCTCACACACAGATGAAAGTAGTAATTGCCGAAATGTATAGAAAAACAGTAAGCGAAGATAAGATGTATACATTTTAAAGCTGAAGTTAAAACTGTCAACATCGGGTCTCACCAAGATTTAACCCTTGTTAAGGTCAAATGCTAAATGTGCATCCAGCCCATCTACCGGCTCAGGAATGTTTCCTCAAGGACCCTAGAGGCATTTCTGAAATACAGTGCTGTTTTAATCATGGTGATCTCCCATATTCCTGGGAAGACTTGGGCCGAACTTCAGCTAAGGTATGGCTCCAAATTGTAACACTACTGTGTTTCAGATGGGTTGTGTCCATTTAGCTATCCAACAGAGTGAGATTTCTTTTTGTCTCTGCTATTCCCATAGCAGATTGCCTGTGATAGTCATTCTGGTTTAACGCTTACTCAATAATAAAACTTCTGGTTCTACTACCTTTGTGCAGCGGTTTTCTAGGCTGGGAGATTTTTTTAATTATATTTCCCAACAGCTTCTGAGGGTCAATTATGTATTTATGGCTTTCCATTAATTTTTTCTTCTTTTTTAAAAAAATTATTTATTTATTTAACAGAGAGAGAGAGAGAGAGCGAGCGAGCGAGTGCACAAGCAGGGGGAGTGGCACACAGAGGGAGAAGTGGGCTCTTGGCAGAGCAGGGATCCCAATTGTGGGGCTCTGATCCCAGGACCTGGGATCATGACCTGATCTGAAGGCAGATGCTTAACCGACTGAGCCACCCAGTTACCCTGCTTTCCATTGATTTCTTGCATAATTTTGATAGTAGTCTCTTGGTTATTAACCCCCCCCCAAAAACATTCCCTCCATATTCCATATATTATTTAAATATTTCTATAGCTAATATTCTAGTACTTGTCTTTAGATGTCTGACTAATGTTCATAACCTGATTTAATGAAACTTAACACTTCTTGATAATACTTTTCCTAAATGCAGGCCCTACATTTTGTATAATGAAACCTTTTAGGTATCACTTATATCTAAACTCCTCTGTAGTTTCCCAAGTGGCCACTGGGCCACACACAGTTTCTCATTTCATGAGAAGAGACATAGTTTGTATTGTGATTAATCATATACAATTGTGAAAAGTTTTCTTATATATCATGCAGTAGGGAAAAAAAGAGCAAATCAAAAATAAACTATACATCCTTGCTAACCAGAAAAAAATATAAATGTTAATTATACTTTTAAAATTGGATAGAACATACTTACATTTGCTTAATCTTACATTAACTGTAACTCAGTGTTTATTGGCAATCACAAATAACACATTCGTCATTCGTCCATCATAAATGCTGAAGGAGTGCTATTATGATCATTGTCCTTAAAGACGAAAATACCTTAAGTTCTCTACTTTTTATGGTAAGTGATGGAGGCCAGCAATAGGCCACTAATTGTCCCTCCAGGCTAATAGTTTACTCCTGAGTTGCCAAGCCGGGTCCCATTTAGAAGCTGAGATCAATTATAGTCAAACTTAGAAATTGCCTTTTTCTGACGGAACACTTGCCGAGTTTTGGTCTGGACATTTTTCCAGCTCTCCTAAAACAACTCTCCATTAGGATATTTCTGGCAAGGATATTACTGGGGTAGAAGGGTTTTCCTTCGTGTCCATAAAACAGCAAACTCTTCTGAAAGAAGCTGTGCCCAACACAAACCGCCCCCAAACCTCTCACAGGACCAACATTTTTGAGCACGTTCTGCTGTAATTTGTGACACCAAACCGACCAGGGGCAAGGTTCCTGGATATAGGGTTGACTGGCAGGACTAGAAATCAGGCCGGGTACGGGGATATGACCCGCAGTGCAACACGGCCGCGCAGACCAGTGAGCCCCACTAGTCAGAGTTTCAGCTTCTCTCGTGAAAGGGTGGGAAGCCCTGAAAAGGGCCTTTTATTTTTTTGGACGGGAGGATAGCGGGAGGCTCAGCCCCCGAAGCCGTAGAGGGTGCGGCCCTGGCGCTTGAGCGCGTAG